ACCCCTCTTCAACAGATGCCAAGTGCAGCTGTCAACAGCGTCATACCCTATTGTTGTTTTTGCTTTCTGAACTCTCTCATCTCGCTCTCTCGTACTGACCATTTGTCTTGATAGCAGATCAACTGCATCCTATTATGAGACATGCTCAGAAAATCTTAAAGGCAGCTGGAGGTTAAAGTTGGCTCAGATGGATTCACTCTACCTTACCACTTTTCCTCTCTTAAAAGAGAAATGTGGCTGTATGAGATTACATGGATACAGCGTGTAATACGTTATTGTCAGTGCATTAAGAATTCATGAATTATAAATTTAAAAAAACAAACTCAAAATGATTCAGCTAAGGTACGTTTGCTTGCAGAATTGAACCAAATCACACTTATTAAATCACCGATATACCTTTAATGCATTTAAACTTCAAACTTTTTACTCTGTCCTTTTTAGTCAGTTTCTACTATCTACATTTTCAGTAACTCTACTAGCCGCTTTCTCTTTTCTGTTATCTAGTGCTCATCTCTGTCTGTCTGTAACTAATTGCATTTTTAAAATTTATTTTCATTTTTTTGGGTCTAAACTTGTGATAGCTGGTACTTTGGCAAACTCCTTCCACCCTCCCCAAACACCAGCCAGTGCATTTGTGCCTGGACAGGTTGGTTTCCTGGGCTGCCCTGGAGGAAATATCAGATGACCTGGCACTCCACAGTAAAACCCAGGTCATCAGGGAGGGCTCCTCTAACCATATCCCTCCCATGGCCCCCCCCTTTCATTCACTTCCTGCTTTCAAGTGTAGGGCAAGGTCAAAGCTTTGAGGATGCATTCCCCAGACTTCACCATGAGGCAGGCTGGAGGCGCTGTGCTCTGCTCTCTAACCAGACTTTTCTCCGTCTATTCTTTCACATCCTCTTGCTCTCACATATTCATTTCATTGGCTCGGGCTTTTACTGCAATCAATACTGTTGCTAAAGTTAGTTTTTCTAATACAGCTATTCATTAAGTGCATTTTCATTAGTGTCAGTAGAGAACCAATGTAACTGGAATAATGGATAAACATATGCTGTAATTGTTGAATCCTATTTTTGGGGTGATGAAGTCTGGTTTTAAATAACAGAGCTCACCCAAAAGAAAAATAAGTCATTACTCTGCTTTTACATAATGCCTAGTAAATTGTGGGTTTTAAAAACTAAGACTCAATTCTCAGACAATGATGTAACTAAGGGTATTTTAATGCAGGAGTTGCACAGAATAAAATGCTCTTAGAGTTTTGTCCTCCCAGCTTTGTATTGTTCCCAGCCCTCAATTTTTCTCTCGGCACAAATGCTCTGTGGATGCGGAAACAAGAGCGAAGCATTATGAATGGTGTTTAGAGACAGGTGTCTGATCTGTCCTGAGATAATGCCAAAAGACTCCTATCTCCCCTTCTAATGGAACAGCGACAGTTGTTTCAAGTAATCAGGCCTGTCATCCAAATGTTGAAGCGCTGGTCCTCTCAACACCTCTCTTTTCTTTCCATAAATCAAAGTTGGTGGCAATGCAGGAAATCAGAGGATACAGCAAAAACAATCTGGCAACGAGTTCTTCCAGAATAGGGAATCCTCTCTGAATATCTCCATCAAACACAGGGGTCATCTTTGTCTGACTTTTGTGGAAATAAGAAAGGGCAAGGGTGAAATCCATCTAATCAGCTCTACAAACAGTTCCCATAAGATTATCACTGCATCTAATTTTAACATCATATTCAAATAAGGGATGAGCCAAATAGTGAATACTTTTTTCTGAGAGTTTACTGCTCCCGCTCCCCTTTCTTGGTCCAAAGAAGTGAAATGGGATGAATATGTTAGTGTCATCTCCAATTTCAAATAGGTAGACATTTCAAAAGATGATTCTCTCTGGAGAAAATGTTATACCTCTAGAGTGAAAAATATCATTTGAAAAGCAAGACAGTAAAAGCCAGTCATCTCAAAATGAAAATTTTCTCATGGTGGCTTTCCTTTTCACCTCAACGGTAATGGGAAAGAAAAAAAAGGACAGGGGGTGAGGTAGGAGAGGGTGGGTGGATGCTATAAGAAGAGAGAAATAAAGGGGAGACACACTGATGAGTACAGGAGTGACACCGCTTGAGGAGCATGTTAATAACGTGTCAGGCACAGACAGGTAACCAGTAATCAGGCCTTGTGACTGTAACAGGGTAGACAGAAACACACGCACACATAAACACCCTCCTCTCCATCTCCATCAGCCCTGAAACTGTTAGACTGCTCGGTCATGTTCTGGGGCAGCCCCCTCCGCTAACAGTGTGTCGCAGCTTTTACAGAGACAAAAGAAACAAATGAGATGGCTGGGTTACAACAAACAGCTCCGGGTTGTTCTTTCCCCTTGAAAATGAAAGACCCTCTTTTTTGCAAGTACAGTGTCAATTAGAGGTGGTTTTGCTCCTGCTCACTCTCCAGTTCTTAGCTTTTGCTGATTGGCATTTATTTAGAAAAAAAGGTTGCCTTAATTCAGGATATGGCGAATACAGGAGTACAGTACAGTATATTTTAACGACACCAGGAGGTAAAACGACAGCAAAGATCATGTCAGTAGGGAGGGTGAGGCATAAACCTCATGCAAGTACAAACAACCTTGCACGAGGTGGATTCTGACCTAAGCGGGAGAGTGTGGATGGAGCTGTGTGTACAGAGAGCCTCCTCTGAATATTTCCCTAGTGAGAGAGCGTAGGCCAGAGGCAGTAAGGTCAGCAGATAGAGTCCAGAGCCAATTGACAGCTGCTGGTTTGACTTTGATACACCATCAGTGCTCAGCACAGCGCTTGCCCATTTCCCCCTCCACCCCTCTTGCACTAACCCGCAAGTGTGTTTGCTCAACCTGAACGCATGCTAGCCTCTCATTATGCCGCCCATGCAAACTTTGTCTCCTTGCAGCTGTTTAATGGCTGCACGTCTGTTTTTGTTTGTTTCCTCACCATAAGATTATTGCACCTTTATGGCTGGTCGGGGGGTTGGAATAATCCCTGGCATCTGTTCAGAGAGGGAGGGGTGAGAAAGAGCCAGAGGAAGGGCCATGCTTCTTTCTTTCTTTCTTTCTTGTTTGTTTAAATTTTTCTAAATATGGGACCATGTGGCCCTCTATTTCATCCTCTGCGACTGAGACTGGAGCTGTGGTTGGATTTTAAAGGCAAGAATGATGGAAAGGGCTTCGTGCTAACAGGCACAAAGGTCACTGAAGGAGCTTCTTGTTGCCGTTTATAACTCCCAGAATGAACACAAAATAAGATCACAGGCACGTTAGTCCAGTTTAATGGATGCAGAACAGTAATGCCTTTTGATACCTGGTTAGTTTGTGTTTTTTCTTTGAATATTGTAATTGTTGTTGTTGGCTCAGCACACATTCTCTATATGTTTTGGTGTCTATATAACAAGATTATTTGCTCATTAAATCAACAAGGTTGTTACTGTCTGCTCTTATACTTTCAATGCTGTTTTATTTTTCTGTTGCATAGCAAAAGTTGCCTGAGCTCCTTTAGAAAAGCCTCATCTCCTTTCTGTTATTTTATTAAGTCAAGATGCCATCTTGTCATGGCTTCTGTGCCTCCGGTCATTATGGCAGGAGAACAAGAACTTAATCAACAGGGCATTATCTCCCAGTGTGCACCTGGAGGCAACAGTGCCAGTCATGCTACCATCCCTTTTTTGTTGGTAACCCTGACAGCCTGGAAACCCCTCACACCACACACCCCGCAGCATCCCCATGGGCTATCGCCAGTGTCTGTGCCAGGTCACACTTGTGACACGGCCTTGAAGGCCCAGTTGGTGCCTTCTTGCAGTGGTGCATATTTTAGAATTTTTATGAATGTGAAGAGAAAATGATGGAAGAAATGAAGAAATGGTCCTGGTTTATGTGCTTGCTTTATGCTGCCACACACTGGATGTGTCATATTTTTCCAGTTTGCACTTTTGAAACAGCTGCTGCTTTTGTTGACATTATTGCCCCGTGTGGGCAGGTGAAGTAACAGCATTTAGTCCCAAAGGAAGCTATTTTCAAACCCTATCCTCACAAACCAAAGAAGACAATATCTTAGAAACACATTTACTCTTAAAGGTTTGTTGACACTCCAACATGAGGTGAGACACGCATCCTTATAAACTGAAAAGACAGTGTTTTTGTGGAAGATGGCAGCAGCTCTGTCCTTGTGTCTAGCTCTCTCTAGTCTGACAAATGTTCTTGCTGAAGAGTGAATTACTGGCTGTCGCTGGTAATCATTAGGTTGTCTACCAGCATCCAAAGTGCTTTTTATTTCTGCCCATTAGTTTGGTGAGAAAATGGCCGGGTATGGTCCAGTGTGTTCTCCCTTACACTCAGACTGATGCAGTAGGCAGGGCAAGCATGGGAAACATGAAAGTGTTTGAAGTATCTCTATTTATGCCAGTGGCAGTTTGGGCTTTTTTTTAAAAAGCATGGTGTCTATAGCATCTCTGTACACAACTGACTCCAAAGGATCTACTGCCTTTTCTGAAGAAGCAATACACACACATGTCAATATTGTGAGACTGGCGTGTAATTATCATTCAAAGGTTAAAGAGTGGATTGATCCATAGAGAAGTGTCAAGGGCAGATCAAAGGGATTTGGGGGAGGATCGGACCAAAAATGTTAAAAGCTGCTCACTCTCAAACACAGAGACGTCAATCTTTCAGAAAGCACCTTGATGTCCTCTGAGGAGAACCTGATCAAAGCTTTTGTAACAAAGATAGTCTCAGAAGATGATCTGACCTCAGTTGCATTCCACTTCTGTCTTTCATTTTACTTTTAGCAGTCTGCATTTACCTGGCTGAACTCCCCAGCACTGCCCCGGTTTCCGTCTTTCCTGTGTTTGCACTGCTGGTTAAACTGTCTGAATATCAATGAAGCAGTCTCACCGATGTATAACAAACACAAGAGAACAGTGATTAAAGATGACATATCTAAGCCTCACTCACTTCCTTCTCCTCTCGTCTCTTTTTCACAGGAGATCGCAGCTTACTTGATAACATTTGAAAAGCATGAAGAATGGCTAACGACATCCCCTAAAACAAGGTAAGACCATTACACTCACTGCCCTCTTTAAAACATAGGGTTTTTAAGATTTATAGTCCTGCAAGTATTACACTCAGTGAGTCAAAATTTACATTTTTGTTTTTTCCTTTTTTTTTCTTTCCAAGGCAATTTCCCTTATGCGCGGCTCAAAATTACCTTCAAGTTTACTGTAGGATGTTTAATATTACAGGGTGCTGATGGCTGTTCAGAAAAGTTTACAGTTTGCAGATAAATTATAGAATATTAATAATGACTAATAACTGCCTTTTAGCACTCCAATTAACACAACATGCACTGCTGCAGCATCTGCTGTGAATGTTATGTTAATGTGCCTCTATCTGTCTGCACATTCGCCACTCCACTGTCTAGGTCAGATGTTACACCCCCATGTTGAACAAAATGCCAAGAGCTAGTGCTATATTTGAAATAGAATCGTTTTTCCAGCATGGGACCTAATTTATTTTATTAATATATGCAGATACATATAGTGCCAATTTGCATGTCCTCCTCAGTTTTTCAGCAAATTTCAGCAAAAGCAGTTTAATGTCAGAGAATGTGTCTGTGGCAGCACTGGCTGTGATGCCATTATTTAACATACATGGTATAATGACTATTAATATATGCAGCTGTGATAGCAACCTTTTACATTTAACAGCATTAGATACATTTCAGTTTGAGTGTATTTGGATAATCTTTTTCGTATTATACAGCTTTAGAGTTGGCATCTTTGGCCTCTGTTGGACTATCAAACAGAAGTGTCGCACTGTAAGACCACAAAATCTTTTCTTAGCTCCAGCATATACAGCCTATTTAAACATGATCCCTTTTGCTTAAGTTTACATGTTCATGCATTTAGAATAAGCTAATCAATGTTAAATCTTTCTTTATCTTCTTTTTTTCTTTGAGTTTGAATTGCTGTGTTGGCATTATTAGCAAACCTCATCCGTGCGTAAGTGGACTCTGGGCTTACTGGCACAGAACCGATTGCTCGCATACCCTCCTCTCTTCCACTGCCTCGGAGGGACATTGATAATAGTCCTGCATTAAAACACTACCAATTAAAATATGTTCTCCGGTTTAATTCTAGGCCAAAAGAGCATCAGGCACACCCTTTTTTTAAAATCAAGAATCCTTCCTTCTTCCCAAGCCACTTCTGTCTAATTTACCAAAATGAATTCAAAATCACACTTTTTTCTTTTGTGTGACCTGTGTAGTTGGCTTTACAGTCACCTTTATTTCCTCTTCAATGTATACGCATTCTTTTATCTTGCTCTAGTACCTTAAGTGACCTTAAGGAATAAAAAAGGGATCGTAATCAAAAAAAGGCCACGTTTTGGGGTCCTGGAGAGCTACAAATGTCACAGTACTGGCATCATAGTGCACAAGACAGGCTAAAAATGACTCTTGTGTGAGATGTGAGAGACTTGTGATCCAGTGACTTTCTATACAAATGGTCCTCAGGATAGTGATGGCCACAGTCTGTCACCACTTGCTGTATGTGATGCAGTGGTCTTAGTGTGCTGAGGGATTTCAGCCCCATGTCATCTCGTAGCACAGGTGCTGATATCTCAGATATGTCATCAGGGAGCAGTTCCTAGTGTACATCTACAGATCACCTGACAACACAATAACACATCTCGTGTTTTAGAGTACCTGTCTTTTCAGCACAAGATGTGTGTGTTTACTCTGTATGTGTGTTTGCCAACAGGAGAGTCAGCGAGAAAGCTTGTGAAGTGTTTGTATTTTTCCAGATGTCAGTGGAAGAGTAGGGTGTAGTGATGTATGTCGGGGCCAGGAAAGGTTGGCGAGAGTCAAAGGATGAGGCGTATATGTGTGATTGATGGTAGCTGATTGATGGCTAGGCTCTACATGAAAATTTTCTGTTCAAGGTCACGGGTGAAAGGTCATGCTTGGAACACCTGTGCTTAAGTGATGCCTTATCATTTGTCATCACAAATCTTCAGGTGCGTTTCGGCGGGTGTACATGCATCTGATTGTGGGTGCACCGTGTGCATGCCTGTGTGTGGGTTGACCCCTGTGGGGAATAGGCTAAGTAGGCTAATTCTCCCCCAGCCAGGGCTTTTACTCCAGGTTAGTGGGGCATGATGGGAGGCAAAGATGAGCAGCAGGGTCATACACAGAGAAGCACAGCGCTACATGGCTGCACCGCATGCATGCAACAGCTCTGACACATGCAGGTCATAAAGATGGGAGTGGGCCACAGTCAGAGCTCAAGGAGCTGACACCAGCTGTTTGACCAAGGTGTCACGCGATGCTGTACATGCCTTGAATAGAGATGGCATCCTGTCAACACGAGGAAGATATAACGAAGTGGACCTGTTTCATACATGCATAGACGTATCTCTGGGTTCATGCTGATGCGCATACAGTAACTGTACAGCCAGTGTTATCTTTTGCTTGGGTCTGTTTCTGTTTGTTTATCGTTTCAAAATCTGAAGCATGCCAGGGGAGAATGGTGGAATGCTGAGTGATTGATGTGCTTAGCTCTAGTAATACACATTCCCTTTCAGATAGGAAGTGCAACAGTGCTTAAAATCAATACCAGTGTTCTCCCACTGACTGCTTGAACAGCACTACAGCTAATTCAGGCCGCACCTGTCAGAGCTGGGGAAATCTTTCCCTACTCGGGCCTTACACTTTAATTTACACCCACAGCCTCGCTGGCTTCCATTTCCATTAAAGGGAGAGCCTGGCATTATGGCTTTAATGAAGGCCACGGCCAGGCTGTGATTTAAGATGGCCGTTACCCCGCACCTTCACTCCACAGGAGGGAACACACTTAAAGGGACAATTAGGATTTTCCTCTATTGCATCCTTCCGGAGAGCCATACTCATTCTTTCCTTTTGGCTTTTTAAAGATGTGACCATACTGCTTCAGTTGATGGGATCTGAAGGTGCCTGTGGGAGAAAGGTAGAAACAGAAGGAAGGGAAAAGAATTGCGGTTCCAAATCTAGACAATAACATTTGATGTGACCTCATCATGGGCATAACATTGCGCTCCTGTTGAGAACAGGCATTCATTATCCATCATAAATGACACAAATATCTCCTTAAGGGGCTGTTTAGAGGTGTTTGAATGCTGACAGATGGAGTAACTATTGACTAGATGGTGTCACAGATTGGTCAGCCCAAAGAGCTAATGGACACCTGTGTGTAGTACAGAGAGAGCTCGTTATCGTGAGCGTCCCCTGAACATCACATGGTTTCATGTTGAAGCAGTTGCACATTAGTGCTTCTTGTCTTCACTGTTTGTTTTATTGAACCGGTTAAAAGCAATCCGTTGCAAAACACAGCACAGAGACCCCGCTTTTACACCTGCTAGTCTACTGTATGCAGCGATACAGTAGACTAGCTGTAGCTGTTAGAAAGTTGAAGTGGTGGGTTGTGTCAGCTATTTGCTTTGACTTTTGCACTAGTTTGTAAGCGCATACATTTACACATGTGCTTACATGACCACAGAACACACTCCTTCTCTCTTACTCACGCACACACACATACACGAACGCACACACACGCACCCACACATTGTATATTGAAACTATCAAACAATAAGCACCAGTCCTTGGAGGGCCCTGCATTGACACTGAACCTAGCCGCCCCCACGTCCCAGCGCAATAGCCCTCTCTCCTCCCACATCCACAGCAACAGAAACAGCAGCAGCAGCACTCCAAAATGAAACCAAGTCCCTTTAGACAGCTTCCAAAGACAATGCTTTTATTAAAACCTACAGTAGTGGCGCCACCCCAGAGGCGCGGGTACACCAACAACAGAGTAGAGCAGAACTGAGAGGCAGCCTGAGATCTGCTAATGACTGTTTGTTTGCGATTGTGTATGGTGTTTGCTATTGTGTAGGGTGCCTATGAATGTGAATTTCTGTCTGTGACAGTGGGAAAGACATAGATAGAGGGGATTGTGTTTAATGCTTATGCGTGAATTTACTCATGTGTATGCACACGATATGTGCATACACGTAAAGTTGAGAGTTCATGACTGTGCAATTATGCAGGTGTTTATGAGTATATGGAGCTACCATGTGTACATAATTACAGCTGAAACTGTGTGTGTTTTGAATAAAAACCACGCTAGTCCTGTATACCATGTGTGTGTCAATTTTGGAAGAGACTTGGTATCTGGGTGAGTCTGTCATTGTGAATAAAACCTCCATAGCCCTATGTGTAAGCTGTGTTTCTGTCATCAAGTTTGGCAAATGGTGTGAGGAAGTGCTGGACCTTCAGTGACTGTGTGCGTGTGTATAAGTGTTGGGGGGAGATGTGTAGGATGTGCCTGAGAAGGGCGTCTGATAGTGTTTGGTCCTAATGCTTTGTGGCACTCGTTGGCTGGCAGAGTTTCAGAGGAGAGTGGAAAAGGACAGGAGCAGCAGGAGCAAGAGAGAGAGAAAGAGAAAGGAAGAGGGTGAGGAGACAGCTCAAAGAGAGATACATAAAGAAACAAAGGCATAGAAGATGAGGGGGTATTTCATTAGCTAACACTGAAATTAAGACTCTAAGACTGCGATATCGTCCTAAATCAAGCTGGGGCTATTAAAAAAAGCCCGCATGACATGTAACTGGAGAAAATGTTTGTAGTGGGACCACCCTCTTCTGTTTATCTGCATTTCTCTTATGTTATTTTCATCCCAAATCATCATGGGAAAAACCGAGCTGTTTGCATAGTGACACTTGGTTGTCCCATTGTGTCGGGACAACACACTGGGTCATTGTACCCCACTGCTTCCACCCAGTCAACAGCACTGACAAGGACAGGCCTTGCAGACTGGGTGAAATAAGGCCCACCTGGGAAAGCTGGGAGGACAGGAGTCAGGTGAACCTTGATAGCATAACGTAAGAGTGAATGAAAGTGAGAAAATGAAAAATGGTCATTGAAGGAAGAGTGAATATGATTGAGCGAGAGCAGTTTAGAAAATGGAAACATGTCGATAAGAGAAGCGAACAGACGAGATGGCGATGGGAGGAATAGT